AGAGGTTACCTGATTCTGAACTGTTTCTATGCAACATTGTAGAAGCAAGGAGGAAGATGGCTGATGACAGCCCAGGATTAACTTGAACCCTTGAAGAAGTTTATCAAAAGGCTTGCAGTTTTTTTATTTTTTCTGTAGATGACCATGGTAAATTCTGACTTCCAATGGCATAGAGATCATCCCTGTATTGTAGGTACTGATAGTGCTTTGTGAACACAGTGGGTCTGTTCATCTTAAGGAAGTTACTCTGACTTTTATGGTGGTCTTGAGCTACTCAGTCTAAGTATAGCTAATGAAAAGGTGCAGCATCTGGATCAGTATCCAATTTGTAGAATCTTGCTTGCGTGAATGAGATTTGATTATGTCTGTCTATGGCAGATGAAGCAGGGTGTGAAATGCTAACAAAAGACTGATATCAGTCCACTGAGACCACGCCTTGGTAGCTGCTGTGAATGTTGGCTTACTAAGTAAATGTCTCTTTAACCAAGGACTGTTTTGGGTTTTGGTTTGTTTCTTTCTTTTGCTTGAGGAAGTAATGTTAGCTGACAGCTAATGAAATTGCTTTCTCTCCCCTTTGGTGCTGAAATTTCAGCCTAACACAAATACTTAAATAAGTAATACCATGCAGATTAGGGGGGGGGTTTCCCTTTTTTTTTTCTTTTTTTAGCTTTTCATTCGTGGGTGAAAGCAAATAAGAGGAAAACAGAGAACGCTTTGGTGGCAGGTTGCGTAAAAGAGGGGTAAATGCCAGTGTCTGTGGTGGTTTAGAGAAGCTTGAGTAAAAGAATAGAAAGGAAGTGGGGAAAAAAGCACCAGCGGGAGAGAAACAGTAACTGTTGCGAAAACACTTAGCATTCTTTGGAAACGCTCTTCTGCTAACAATACTGCAGTTGATTAAAAATTGTTACAAATCAAAATCTGGTTTTTTTAGAAAATGGTGTTTTAGGTTTAGGGGGTTTTTTTATTACTTAGTATTATGAAGCGTAGCAGATATTTTGCTTCAGTTCAGTACATATCAAAAGCTACATTTTTATTACTGTTTAGCTCCTCCTCATTGCTTTTAAGCACTTAACTGGGAGAAGGTCATCTTAGAAATATAAGTTGCATGTTTCCCTTTCTCATAAGAGCTGGAGACATTTGTAGGATAAGCCCAACCTGATGAAGTCAGTTTTATGTTGCTGGTTAGAATTAGTTTGAATACTTTACCGTCTTGTGTTGCTGAGGGAGGATTTGGCAAGTTATGACTTGAATATTTGTATCTTTTTAGTATGTGTAATAAGTTACCTTTTTCATTTGTCAAACAGTTGTTTTGCAGATGTTTAATGCAAATTCCATGAGAAGAGAAAAGACAGCCTTGTGGCTAAAGTTAGGATTTGTGAGAGACTGAAATATTAACAGTAATGGCTCAAACAGTCCTTCATTTGCAAAAGGAGCAGGTGCTTTGCTGACAAGGTGCAAGGGAACAGCCCAGGTGCAGAAGGTGTGAACACTAGAGGATGACCACAACCAATTAATCTTTGTTTAGCAAGAAGCTGGGTTTTGAGCCAAATAAGGAAGAGGCAGATGAGAAGCAGATCCTGCAAGGTGGGATAGTGCTTTTTATTATGCCAGTGATGCCTTCCTTACACAACTGGCTCAGGTGTGAAAATTCCCCTTGGGGGGAGGTATTGGGGCATTCCCAGGTAGGCGTGAAGGTATTCATCCCTTCTGACAGGGCATAACTGGCTTAACTACGCTGACATGAGAGGCAGGTGTCATGTTGTAAAAGGTGTCATAAACCACCAAAGACTGAAGTGCTCCCAGACTCATTTTTGGGGTCTTCCACCAGAGGACTGCAAATGATCCACAGTGGTACATCAGGAAGCATAAAACTCCTCCTCCAGCAGAGGTACCTGGCCATTGCCACCTATCCTGAGTGTAAAATAACCCACTGAACTTTGTTTTGTGGGCTTTCCACCACTCGCGATCGATCAGGACTGCCACCATTACTTTGACCAGTGGACACTGACATTGCAACAATCAAGTCTCATCATTGGATCCATGGGTTGTGATATTCTTTTACTCTTATCCTTCTACTCTTCTAACTTCTTCCCAAAACGTATTGTAAGCCAGACTAAAAATTTCCAGTCAATGCCTTGGTAAGTGCCTTGTGATATCTGGATAAGTTAAAGTTAGCTAAGTTTAAGTTTGCAAAGTTAAAGTTTGTAAAATGCCTTACTTTGTCTGGATGTTGCTAAGTACCTTATTCTGCCTTAATGTTCTGAAAGTTTACAAGTAATAGTTTGTTATTGAACCTCCTGAAAATTTTATTATTTCTCCCATGCACTGCCGAGACAGAATAAAACAACCATCCCCTAAACCCACTGAGCAGATTGGGGCATAAAAGGATTGAAAAGAAAAACCTATACTTAGAGAAAGACCTTTTTGTGGGACACTTCACTGCTCTGTGCCCCCATTTACTTTGCTTTTAGGAAGGATACTCTTCTTGTTAGTTATGCTGAGAATAAAGTCAATAATGTTTGCCTAGTTCCTTGAAATTTTAAAAAGATACATATTTTTGTATTCTAATTATTTTGTCCTCTAGAAGTATGTGGTGGGGAGGTGCAGTCAGTCAACTTTGATAAGTTCAAATCAGTGCTAATTAATTGTTCACTATCTTGTATGAATCTTGAAACATGGTTCATAGTAGATAGGTGGTGGTAAGTGAGAGCAGAGGAAGACCTTAGGTGTCTAACTTTTGGCTTGTTCCAAAGCAAAGTTATCACCAATGCAAACTGTAAGTCTGCCTGCATGCCTAGGGATAGGTGTTGCTAGATAAAAGTACTTCAAGTGATTACAGGTACCCCTGTGTCTAGTGAAATACAATCTGTATTTCCAGAAGACGAATTCAAGTCAAATGTGCCCTTTATGTGCTTACATTTAGTTATTTTAACCTTCTGGACTGAATTTCTGCATTAAAATTTGGTACAAGTAATTTCCATTACAAGTCCTAAAGTCCCCTTGTTCTAAGCTCTTAACTGCAGCGAAGTACACAGGCTTGCTATCTCTTTATTAACTCCTATATAAAGTTCTATAAAATTAGCGTTAACCAGACCTGCAGTTCTATAGATGCAGTTCTGTACTCTGTATTTCATCACAGGAATGTTTTAGAACATGTCAGTCTGTGTGTGACACCACAACTGGACATTTGGGGAAGTAACTATCTCTTTCAGTTTTATAGAATTAAAAAAAAAAACAAACTAACAACTAACTAGCAACTAACAGTAAATTGTTTTAAACAACATGTCAGCAATACCTTTATTAGCATCAGTGTTTCCATTCCTCTTTTTCTCCACAGGTGTGATAGCTTTAGAAAACGTGTTGACTCATATCCTGTACATTATTACGGAAAGCACGCGTGACACACACAAATACGTATTTTTTGCTTTTCCCTGTCTTCTACCATCTTATCATTTCCTCTTTTAATATTCCTTATTCTTCCCTTTTGTGGTCCATTTCCTCCTTTTGCTTACATAAAACCTTGAAAATCGGTGGTTGATGGTTGTAATCTCCAGAGTTGTCAGTGTATAGTTCTGTCTTGTGTTTTTCTGTCATCTGTAAGAAAGCCAAGGAGAAGAGACAGTACTCCTGTAATCCATCCTGTTTTGTCATCTCTTGTTCTTTTTTATTTTTTTCTTCCCTCGTTGTTTTTGTTGTTGTTTAGCTTCTCCCCAGCTGCAGATCAGATGTTTCATGCTGATCTCTTAGATCTAGGACATATTACTGTCTGCTTTCCTTGTTCACCATTTCTGTATGGGTAATGAACAGAATACGGGTTTCATCCTTTTTAACTGTTGCCACAGTTGTAAGTACTTAGTTTCTGAGGCAAACTACACATCTATATTGAATAAACTACACAAAACTTCACATATGTAAACTGTATTGTACAGTACTAGCCTTTGGCAGTAAGTTCATCAGTTTCTCTGAGTATACAAAATAGTCTGGACTAAGTGTGACCTAAGTAATGCGTTGTCCTGATGGACCGAACATTGCTTCACATAGTTGATCTGTATAAACATGTAAAGTATAGTGTAAGAACACGTACATAACCTACACTTGCATACTGATGATATTTAAAAGTAAATAAACCTCTATGCTTAAATCTTCAGGTACTCTAAAGTAAACAATATGGAACAGTTGGAATAATATATTTCTGCATTGAGTTCAGTGGACTTAAGCAGTTCTCGTACTTTCTGCTGGTGCTCTGGAAGTGTACATTTACTGAATTTTTAAAAGTTTTTGTGGGGATGCTTCTCTTTTGCAGTTTGTGCAATTAAACTTGTACCTCTCTGCATTACAGTTGTCTTTTCTTGCCTTGAATGCTGTGAACAGTCTCTTCCAAGCTGCCCTATTAACACAAATAGGAATTGCAAACACTCTAGCTTATTTTAAGCATCTGAATAGAACACCATGTCAGTTGTACATTCCATAAATAGGACTTGGTGACCATTTGTCATTTTTCTTAAATGCGATGAGTTCCATGGTACTGCGTTATTTTCCTGTTAGTAATGACTGCAAGTAAATATGAGAACATGGTGCAGACATTGGTCATTATTTTGTTTCTTTTTTCTTTCCTTAATTCTGTATCATTTGACAGATGTGATACTAGAATAAAGATATATATATAGCATGTATGAGTGTGTGAGGGTGTATATAACTGAAACTACACTTTGCCTCAGAAATCAATGGCAGCACTTGAGTGGTGAGCTGTAAAGACCATGTTAGGCGTGCATAAGAGGCTACTTACATGTAACTGATCAGATGGACAGTTTCCTTCATAACTCATGCTGCTGAGTCTTTTCATCATGATTTTCACTGACAGAGGCATAACACAAATTCATTCAGCAAGCTGCTTCAAGGTTGAAGGAAAGGAATGTATTTGGATTTGAGGGCTGGATGTGTATGCTGTGTTTAAAAGGCATGCTACTGGTATTGATTTTTTTTATTTCTATTTTTTTCAGGACAGGTTAAAGTGTTCAGGGCCCTGTATACGTTTGAGCCCAGAACGGTAAGTACTTCTAAATTTTAGAGGTTTGAAAAACTTAATTCTAATCTTGTCAGTAACATTTCTTCGATTCTGCTAGGATTGGCCTATTAGACTTACTGTACTGTTTTCAACAATAAAGTCTGTTGATGCGTATTTGTTCTTATTGTGACTAAAACTGCCTGATTAATCATCACTCTCCAGTAAGTCCACTCTGTTTTAAAGCAGCATACTTTCTTCTGTAGTATCTGTTACCTACAGTCTAAGATCTGAAATCGTGATTTGGATTTTCTTTCAAAAAGGGGATGAAATTAACAAATACAAAGATAAATTTCACTGCTTCTGTTGCACAGTGCTCTATTGGAAAGAATGCAGTCTTTCTGCATTGTTAGGAAGATCACAGATCCAAAAGGTTATCTGTAGACAAGTCAAACAACTGACTATCAGGTTGTTGTCTAGGTGCTAGAGAATTTGAGTTATCATTGTTTTTAATGAAGAGGTGAATGTATTCTGACTTATCCAGGTATTCGTTTTTCATTTGTACACATATTCAGATATTTGTTTATTCCTCTTTTTTTTTTCTTTCTGTTTTTAAGCCAGATGAACTGTACTTTGAAGAAGGAGATATCATTTACATCTCAGACATGGTGAGTCTAAGACATCCCATACAGACTGAACACTTCTGAGATGCAACATATCCCTTTTAAAATATTTTCCCTTTTCTCTGCAGAGTGATACAAATTGGTGGAAAGGAACTTGCAAGGGGAGAACTGGACTAATTCCAAGCAACTATGGTAATGTCTAGAATATTTTTATTTGGTAATTTACAATCAAAGGAAATCAGTAAACAAAAATGCTTATGATGCCTTAAGCCCCAAATAGTTTTTTATTTTTCTAATTTTGTACGCCTTATAAGTTTTATAAGTAGTAGAAGTAGATTTTAAAAGCAGCAACCCCCACTCCTTTTCCCTTTAGTACAAGCAGTTTACACAGTCCTTAACCCTCTTACCCCATTCTATGCTCCCCATATTAAATCTACCCCCAAATCCAGTAGAAATGTTTAGTCTCTTGTCAAGGCAAGACCTGTTCTGTTTGGAGAATGTTTGTATCTTGGCCTAAACCGCAGAACACGATCAAGAACTGGGTGACTGTGTGCACTCTGTGCCCCGAAGAAGATGAAGATTGATGAAGAGAGGGTCTCAAAAGCCCCCAGCCCCAATTCCCAGGGGGCGGGGTGGGGGATGGATCAGGGCAAAAGTAACAGGGTGGACACACTTGAGATTAGACAGATATTGTTATAAAATGTAACATCTCAGGCACAGCCAGCGTTTGTGGTGTAACACCTATTGCCTTGGCACATTAAACCCTTTCCTTATCTCGCCCCTAGTTAACTGCTCTGGAGTTATTTTTTTAGCACCAACATTCCACGGCATCACTTATTTTCAAAAGCAGATCACATTGGCATCTAACAGTACTCTACTATGTGTTTCAGAATACACCTATCTGCAGTATCAGTCACTATTGTACATCAGCAGTGGACAGGCTGTCTTGTGTTTTTATAACCTAAAGACAGCATAAGTTTGCCTAGTGTTCATGTTTCTGCTTGTGCAGATGACAGTAATAGATGTTCCCTGTTTTGAGTGGAAGAATGCGTGGTTCTAAAGGAACCATTTTTGTTTGCCATTTGTTGTATTTTAGTGAATATATCCAGCCACAGAAAACATTGTTTACTTGAGGATTGCATCATATTAAATATCCCTTACATGTCTGGACTGGATAGAAACTGCTTTTTCAGATTCAACTAAAATCACTTTTAAAAGCCATGAATACAGACAACACAGCACAATTCTTCCAAGTCCTTCCAGGAACTGTAGACAGAGTAACAGTGTCTCATGACAGATTGCATCATAACTGCCAATATGATACTGACTGTGGTTGCTTCACATTGTCCCTTCTTCACTAGGAGATCTTATGGTAGCAATGCTATGATTCCCTGCCCTGTAGTTAGTAGAAATACATGAATAGCAATCCATGGCGTAGTTATTGAGACCATGGCATCAAATTTCACTGTAGTTTGGGACTTCCAGTCTGACTCTGCTCTTGCCATCTGCCAGAGTTCAGAGGTCATGCATTGTTATATGCAAGCAGAATAGTTCATACATGCTTACCTACACTCAGATGTCTTTTGAAGTGTGTTATATTTAAAATAAAACCAGCAGTCTACCAATTCAATTTGTGTTCCCATTGAGATAACTTGGAAAACTTCCATTTTAGAGCAGGGTTGGGGGGTGGCATCTCTGTTTGCACATTTGCAAAACTTTCATGTGTAAGCGGAACAGAAGTCTCTGCAGACCTTAAAGAGTAGTAGGAACATGTCTTCTGATTTAGACAAACTGTAAAATCCCTAAGGCTATCTTTCTCTGGTTACACCTTTAGGACTGACAGGTTTCATTGGTTTTAACCAATGAAACACTGTGATCTCCTGTGCTATTCTATAACCTTTTTGCAAAGGGTAGAGACAGACCTGAAACTACTGAATCTGTGGGGGGGTCTTGTGCTCCATCTGCTGGGCTCGAAGGAACACATTTTAAAAGAATGTGAATGAAAAGCTGTTGAAGGCAGAATCAGTGTTATCTGCAATAAAAATACTTATTGTGGAACTTCTGGCAAAAATTTGCTAAAAAGCTTTTGAGACAGTGTTGTTAGTGTTAATGCTGTTTGCTGTGCTCAACCAGCACTGCTCATTATGACTAACTTGTGCTGCTTGTGTAATAGCTGTCTGCTCAGGGCCTGGCTTCTCTGCATTAGAATTTTGTTCACTGTTTGCACAAATTATTTTAAAGTTAAATTCCAGAATCTAGCATTTGTATTTTATTTTACTCATAGCTAGCAAGTTAAGCATGTGAAATCTTACAATTACAAACATTATGGGAGGAATACACATCAAAGTAAGAAAAGATCTGGAGAGGCCAAAAGAGTCTTGAGACTTTTATTTCTGGTAACTAATGTACGGTTATCAGTATTTTCCTGCTTTGCATCTGATTACAGTAACATTGTGATCTGAGGAAAACCCTTTCACATAACAACCATAGTGCAAGGGCTTAGAGATCCCATTCATCTCATATTGTACACTGTCATGCTTGCCTGTACTCTTACTAGTTAGTGATTTCCACCTAAAAAAGAAAGTTTTAAAACAGAAGGTTGATCTGCAATCTGCCCATCACTACCGTCATTGTTTAAGCAGACCTCCCACAGGTTTTCCAGGAAAAATAAAAAATCTCCATCAAACAAAAAGGAAACCTCTTGACAGTCGATCTTTTTAGCTACCCTTCACAGACCCCTTGGAAATAATTCATTTATAACTATAGATGGCAAGCTGTAGGTTGAAAGCCTAGCCTCATGCAACTGCTCAGAACCATCTTACAAGTTTAGAAAGGGAAGTAATAACTGAGATTAAATACTGCTAGATTCCTGGTAACTTGCAACTGTTGATCAATTTGATGCTGCTGTTTAAAGTTTTCACAAGCTTTTTTCTGAAATGCTTTCCTGTACACAGGAAATTCAAGTTTTTCTGACAAGTCTGTCACTCCTAAATTCCTTTTCACATTATAATCAACTATGTATTACTGGTTCCTCTGGAATAAATCCAGGTTTTATTTCCACAGATACCAAATATCTATTCAGTTTCAGAAGTAGTTAGAATTTACTCTTTCATTTCAGTGGCAGAGCAAGCAGAGTCTATTGATAATCCACTGCATGAAGCTGCCAAACGAGGTAAGTGTGTTTGCTCTTTTAGTCCTGTAATGCTAAAGGCTGTTTTGCTTGTTTTCTGCTATAATAATAATAGTATATTAAGAATTAAGATGTTCTGCCTGTTTTGCTTGTCTAGTATCTTGAACAAGTTATCTGGTAAATTTTACAGCTTTGAAAAGCTGAGATACAATCCTGGTAGAATTACCACTCTGTGACTGCATACACAGAAAAAGTGTGGTACCATCCATTTAACTGCATAAGGATCTGAAGGTCTTCTGGGAGTGGAAAACATTTGGTGTGACTTTGGTTTAATGAATGGTGTTGCTGCTAACTCCTTTTTTCTCTTTTTAAGTTCATTGGAAGACTGTCATTCAGAGAGAACTATGTGTCTTTAATGGTTCTGTTAACTCTTTAAAGAAAAAAAAAAAAATCGTCAAAACTGATTTTGTCTTTCAGGCAACCTAAGCTGGTTGAGAGAGTGTTTGGATAATCGAGTTGGTGTCAATGGCTTAGACAAAGCTGGAAGCACAGCTCTGTACTGGGCATGCCACGGAGGCCATAAAGGTATCAGAGAATTAATTTGAAATTACTGTTCTTTGCTTTTCTTGATGTGTTTTTCAGACTGATTGATAAAATTACAGTGCTATAACAAATAACAAAGCCTTTTTTTTATGTTGTTCTATTTTTTAAAAAAAGAAAAATTAGACTAGAAGGGAGGTTCAGCTCCATCAACTGCTGTGTGTTTTGTTGCCATTGAAGCAGGCATTCTCATCAGTGTAACTGTTAGAAGCAGAGTGGGAAGAAGGACAGACCAAAAAGAAGTTTTCTGTTATTTTGCATATTCTATGCAATAGCATGTCTTTTGACTAATGATTGTTTGCCCAATGCAGTCCGACTGTTACAGATTTTTATTAGCTGATTGGATCGCTCTTTCATTGAATCTAAATTAAAATTTATACTAAGAGTGCAAAAAGCCTGTTTTGTTTCTACTAAATTTTTCTCTTTAAACCTCTCCCTGTTTTCTGCAGATATAGTAGATGTTCTGTTTTCCCAGGCAAACCTAGAGTTAAACCAACAGGTAGGTTAAACCAACAGATCCTTACAGTAGATGTGTGATGTTATTCATCCTTGGTACAAGCTGAAAGGTTTTTTGCTGTATTTTAATCCTGTTGCTTTTCCCTCTAACTCCACAGAACAAATTGGGAGACACAGCTTTGCATGCTGCTGCATGGAAAGGTTATGCAGATATTGTAGAGATGCTGCTGGCAAAGGGTAAAGATCTTCACCAAGGTTTCAACAATCTATGTGGCAGACTAGATTCATGAATGTTTTTTAGTTTGTATTTTTAAGTGTTTTTGTATAACTGAAGTACAGTCCTTAGCCAGCTACCCTGCCTGACTCTATAAGTCTTGCAGAAAATTCTGACAGCTATTTGGAAAGTTGACATCTCACCTGCTCAAGATAGGTTTCATCCTGCTTTGCAGACAAAAGTAGGCACTTAACCCCAGAGCAGCAATGACATCTGCTTGCTAGAAAGGGAGAGTAGCCAGCAAGTTCCCTAAATAACTATAGCTTGTGGAAAAGCATCCATAACTTCTGGTCTGCTTCAGAGCAGTTCATAGGTCAGATTCCTGTGTCCGTTACTATTCTACCCACCTTACTGAAATTCATATCAGAATGCCATTGCTCGAGAAATAGCTGGGACAGTGATTCATGATGACAATTTTTCTATTATGAAGGGGCAAGAACAGATCTGAGGAACAATGAGAAGAAACTGGCTTTAGATATGGCAACCAATGCAGCTTGTGCTTCCTTACTTAAGAAGAAACAGAGTGCAGGTATTTCTGATTTTGTTTTTCTGATAAATTTTTTCTTCTAAGAGGACACTTAATGTTTTAACCAAATATCAATATGTTGAAAGCCATAAAAAACACTTGGGAGATATATGGACTGAGTTGTGTTCAAAAGGGCTCACTTGAGAGGGTTAGTTTAGATTTGTGATAGAAACGTGGTTTATCACATGCAGTGTTGCTGACTCCACACAAAGTGCCATCCTGTGTCAACAAGAGGCAAGAGTTCAGATGTGAGAATAACAAGGGAAGGAAATAGAAGACAGGTCCTTCAGATGGAAGAAAGCAAGATGGAAATTACTTTAAAAGCAATATACCACAAGGGACAGGATACGAAAGTAAAATGGTGTACTGTCTTCCCCATTGTGCTTGTCTGTTCCTCCAAACTTATGCCAAACCAACACCAACAGATGCTCCTGTTTTATTTTCTTACTGCTAATTTTTTTTTAAATTTCTTATTCCTGTATTTTTCTGAGTGACTGTCTAATAGAGAAATGAAGAAAGACTGCTTTCAGGTGTTTATCAAAATAGTGTCACTGCTTCCCACTGTGTTCATCTCTCCTGATAGCACAGTGCCGTGTCCAAAGGAGTTAAAAAGATAAAAAGCTATTTTAAAAAGCTGAACAAAAACTGAATGGTCCAGTATTGTGTAACTAATACTGCCTGTAGTTTTCAGGGGGCTGAAGTTAGGGTGGAAACCCTAGTTGAAATTATTTAAAAACAGAGGCAGAGTTAAAGCTGGTTTTGTTGGGATATGCAGTCTAGCAACTGTATTATCACAGGACGAGTGAGAAAAGAGGGAATGCTAACCTGTGGGAGCTTAGTGGTTATGGGAATTAAATGGTGGAAGAGCTGACTACAGCTTTAGATGCCAAGAGGAGCAGTTGCAGCAAAAATACTATCCAGCTCTTTGGTTGAGGTAATATCAGGATTTCCCAGAAAACTTCTGACAAATTATTTTGACTCTGAAGAAAGCAGTTGTAACAAAGGGCAGAATTCCTTCTGTTTCTGTATTTTTTTCTAAAGGTGGTTAATCCCTGTTAGGAGCACTTACTTCATCTTTGCATGTTAATTGTAGGCACCTGGTACAGGTGTGTTCTCTGTTCTGATGTCCCTCATAACTGTATTAATGTTTGATTTCCTGATCCTAAGTAACTAATCTTCTACTTTGTCACTCCCTCTAAATTAATTTAGTTTCGTGGCTGGCTAATTTTTCATCCTTAGTCACTTTGTCTATCACTGGCCTCTGGTACCCTCACACCCTGTCTTTTCTTGCTTGCCTGAGCTGATATTCTCAGTCTAACTGCAGTTTCAGTATTAGCTTCCATGTTTGCTTTTCTACCTTAATTTGTCCTTTTAAATATCTCTGACACTGCTGATCTGTATACTTTTCTTGCATTTTGTATTTTCTTGGCTATTTTCAGTAATTTTGTTTGTTCTGTTGAGTTTGCATTTCAGTATTTCCAATCTCTATAAGTGAAACAATTGTTCTTTTTCAGAAATTCGATTCTATATCAGTAGTCTTCCTGTCCCCAGTTCCAAATCTGTTCTTATTTAGATACAGCTTCTATCATACTCCATTTATAAAACTGTTTTATTGGAGGAAGCTTACATTGCCTCCACTTAAATGTTCAGTTTTGTTTTACATGTACACACACACATTCAAATGCCATAATTGCTGAAATTGCTGAAATAATTCTAAAACATTAGAATTATTAAAGTCATGTCATGGAAATGCAAAAAGATTACATTATTTGTGCTACTGAACAAGAGAACAACTATTTCAGCAAAGCCTTTGACACCATCTCCCACAGCATACTCCTGGAAAAGCTGGCAGCCCATGGCTTGGACAGGGGCACTCTGTGCTGGGTTAGGAACTGGCTGGAGGGCTGGGCCCAGAGAGTGGTGGTGAACGGGGCTGCATCCAGTTGGCAACCGGGCACTAGTGGTGTCCCCCAGGGATCGGTGTTGGGCCCAGTTCTGTTTAATATCTTTATTGATGATCTGGATGAGAGGATTGAGTCCACCATTAGCAAATTTGCAGATGACACCAAATTGAGGGGGAGTGTTGATCAGCTGGAAGGCAGGAGGGCTCTGCAGAGGGACCTGGATAGGTTGGAGAGTTGGGCTGATTCCAACGGGATGAGGTTCAACAAGGCCAAGTGCCGGGTCCTGCACTTTGGCCACAACAACCCCCTGCAGCGCTACAGGCTGGGCACAGAGTGGCTGGAGAGCAGCCAGACAGAGAGGGACCTGGGAGTTTGGATTGACAGGAAGCTGAACATGAGCCAGCAGTGTGCCCAGATGGCCAAGAAGGCCAATGGCATCCTGGCCTGGATCAGAAACAGTGTGGCCAGCAGGACCAGGGAAGTGATTCTGCCCCTGTACTCAGCGCTGGTGAGGCCACACCTGGACTACTGTGTCCAGTTCTGGGCCCCTCAGTTCAGGAAGGATATTGAGGTGCTGGAGCAGGTCCAGAGAAGAGCAACAAGGCTGGTGGAGGAACTGGAGCACAAGTCCTATGAGGAGAGGCTGAGGGAGCTGGGGTTGTTCAGCCTGGAGAAGAGGAAGCTCAGGGGAGACCTCCTCACTCTCTACAACTCCCTGAAAGGAGGTTGTAGCCAGGTGGGGGTTGGTCTCTTCTCCCAGGCAGCGATCAGTAAGACAAGAGGGCATGGTCTTAAGCTGTGCCAGGAGAAGTTTAGGTTAGATATTAGGAAGAAATTTTTTACAGAGAGACTAATCAGGCATTGGAATGGGCTGCCCAGGGGTAACTATGGGGGTGTTGGATCAAGGGTTGGACTTGATGATCTCTGAGGTCCTTTCCAACCTGGCTGATTCTATGATTATGCAGAATAAATGGAATTCATATTTTCTCAAAGTATGGCCCCTTTAGCATAGAGCTCTGCAATTTCTTTTCTTCCCTTTCCGTTCTTCCTTTGCTGCTTCTCCTACTCAAAAAGAAAAATAATTTTTTTTTTCAGTTAGATTTCTTTTCTCGAGACAATTAAGCAAGTCAGTTTTAAACTTATCCTAGATTTCTGGAATAAGAAAGAGTAACACAGTTATCAATTCTGTGAATTATGTCAGGCTACACCTGTTTTTTTTAATACTTTAAGATGTTATTGCAAAACTACAACTAACTAGGATCTCGTGATGTACAATGTTATATATGTTATCTGTAATCCATATTCCTATTCCTATATATTTGAAAATCTGTGGGAAAATAATCATCTATCCCAAAAGCCCATGCTGTTTATCTTGGTAAGATAAATAGGTGTAGTTCTCCAGGTACTGCTGCACATCCTGGTAAATATACTTTAATACTCCGTTTTCCTGCTTAGTATCCTTCACAGACAAAGGCTCGTAAGTGTATCTAACAAATAACTAGTCAGGACAAAATATAGATGAGAAAGGGGGGATGGGAAAAATAAATGGAATGTGTTTGATTTTAGGCAGAGAATGGCAGCCAGCTAGGCACTATCCCCACTTTATGAGAATAAAACCATGGAGGCTCTTCTACCAGCTCAGTGGTCCTATCCTTTGTGATTTAAAAGTAATATATGCAGAAAATAGGATTAAAGAGTTCAAGCTCTGGCGTACAGGTTCAAAGGAGCCAGAACATGGCTCTTGAAGGTCACAGACTAAATCTCCTAGGTAGGAGGTGTGATTACTGGTTTAGCCCTGCATTTGAGATCCAGATCTACGGCCCCATCTGTGTAGCCCTAACATCTCTAAATGATGGAGGAATCAGGTTTGTTTGGTCCTGGTTTGCAAGCATTGCAAATGTGAGTAATTTTCTGATTTTATCCCAGATTAAGAGAGAGTTTTCTTTCTTTCCAGATACAGTCCGAACACTGAGTAATGCAGAGGAATACCTTGATGATGAAGACTCTGATTAACTTTTTTCATTCAGCATAAAGAACTATAACTTGCGTTGCCTATGTCAGTCTCAAAACATATCTTTGCAACTGTAAAAATATCTTATGTTGAGTATTGCAGTCTTCCAGTATAGCATATAAATGAGTGGGTGAAATCATGCTTTCCAAAGGAATAATCTTTCCTTAGGCCAGAAGATGTCATATTTTGAATCAGAGTTCCTTTGGAAGTGTCTCACAGAGGAAGTGTGGTGTACCATTACTATTGAATGGGCGGAAGACCATATTCTAAACTCACGTTTCATCTCAGGCCTTCCCAGCAAGTGCCTTGCATCTCTGGAATGCGTTTCTCAAACTGAAAGGTCCTTCTGGGACAGCAAGACACCATTGCTAACATTTTCCAAAATCTCCCTGGGCATAGTTTCCTTTGTGCAGCTAATACTGACAGAGTCAGTACTGGCTGACAGGCATGAATGGGCATTCTGCTATAGAGAGGGACCATTATTTGCCCACGTGGAGCCAGCATGACAAAGTTTGATTTTTATTTTTGGTAAAATTTTTTCCCTTCCTTCCTCTACCCCTCTGAGTAAAGTGCAAAATGACCTAGGATGATCTGCCCCAGGATACTTTGTCTTCTCTATTGCTATGGGCCCAATCCCTGAAATGTTAACTCAGGTGAAATGCTTGCTTAAGTCAGGTTTGCTTGAGAAATATACTTAATTCTGAATTTGGTGGCTTGGTTATTTTGCTTTTTGAAGTGCATTATGCTGAAACTATTTGTAGTGAAAAGAAGACAGAATATTTTTCTATTTATCCTGCCTAAAATTTTTAGTACCGATCTCTTTCTTTTACTTTGTAAAAGTGCTCTTGTATTTTGTCCTAAATTACCTCAAAGTTGAAGTGTGTTTGAAGGAATGAGGGAAGATGTATATCAAATATACCACAGGTATTTAGAAGAGATACCTTAAGCTGAATAAACATTTTTAAAATGCGTTGCTTCTTCCTGTGAATTAAAGAGAACTAAAAAATTATTGAGCCACTTTCAAGCTTCCCTGCAGAGTTAAAAAACAGTACTTTCTTTAGATTGCTCAAATAGCTGCAGCCAAATATTGTACCTTACTGAAGGGTACTTTCTTACTGTGATGGTAAGAAAATGTTACAAGTATTTGAGATACAATCTCATATTCAATTTTTGTTGCTAATTTCTCTAGTAGAGACTTTTAACAAATTCATTCCAACACAGTAATCTGGCATACCAAAACAAAATCAAAAAAAAAGGGGGGGGAAAAAAAAAAGAAAAGGAAAAAAAAAAACCTCTTGCAAAAGATTGGGGATAAGTGAAAAACTCTTGTGAAAGACTGGAGATAAATGAAAAGCTCTTGAGAAAGTCTGGGGATAAACAAAGCTCTTGAGAAAGTCTGGGGATAAACAAAGCTCTTGAGAAAGTCTGGGGATAAACAAAGCTCTTGAGAAAGTCTGGGGATAAATGAAAAGCTCTTGAGAAAGTCGGGGGATAAATGAAAATCACACTAAGTATTTTAGAGATTAAAAGAAGTCTAGAGCACTCTTAATTTCCCACTTTTAAAAATACACTCAACCAGATTTTTTATTTTTATTAGATACAGGTAACGCTTGCTAAGCACTTATCAAAGAAGGCAGTGCTCGATTGACCTGAACTGTGTAAGATGGAGGCATTGCACAAATAGTCATCTGCACATATAATTGAAAACTGTTTAAATGTTAAAACTGTAGAACAAATGGTTTAACCCTATGGAATACTGTGGCTACATGAACAGTGATGTTTTATTTTGTATGAGCTTGAATATCCTAGAGGGGAAGAAATAAAAAAAAAAAAAAAGCCACCATTTTTTTCTCTCTAGCTTTCATTAGGACAATTGTTGAACATAACTCTTAATAGACAGAGACTGTTCTGCTTCATATTTAATCAGCCAGCTATTCTGCTAGCTCAGCTTTTTACCATAGTGAAACTACATTTTATGATGCATGCTGTTGATTAAAATGATACGATTTCAAAGTGCAAGTTTAAAAGGTCCTGTAATGAGAGGCAAGAAGGTTCTTGAGTCTTTTTCCTGCATAAATGAAGCTCACAAGATTAAAATTCTTCAGTGTCACAGGATGTGGAGAGAATGGCTCTTCCCAAGTCATTGTATTCTCTATTGAGTTTTGGAGGCAGAGTTTGTATTCATAAATAACTCTTAATGTAATGTCTTCTGCTGCCATGGGTTCAACATCCTACAAGGAAAACATTATGCTCATGTCTCTGGAATTAACAGCTGCCAGAAGACCCTGTGTTCTGCAGATGCTGCAAAAGAAGAATGGTGACAGAAGCACAAGCTGAGCCCAGAGATTGCATCTGAAGTTCTTACCACTGAAAGAAGCACATTTACATTGCAAGGCAGCTAGCAAGTGGTGTAATTTGTTTCCAAGACCAAAATTATCGCTTTTGTTTTTTATCCACAACTTTGTTTTCCTTCATGAGACTTTCTGCTTATCTTGTGAAATACAGATCACTGTGAAAGTTTTCAGGCAATAAATTACTTTTTGCCTAACTCCAGCAGTGTAAGTTTTGATGTAAAAAACAAAACACAACCCAAACTGAATGTCCTACAAGCTAGAAGGAGTTACAGCTGGAGTAAGCTGATACAATTTCTTACCAGTCTTACTAGTTATGCAAACCTACTTACTCCCTCTACTTTTCTTCAATCTATGTGCCACTGCAGGCTCATGGATAAATTTAAGACTTTTTTCAAGGGCACCTACATTCAGTGTTGTAACAATAAGAAAAGTATTTTTTTTTAGGAGCAGCAAAGTGAAAGTTTTCAAGCTCACAGTGTCTTCTAACTGAACGTTGAAGGATATTCTGTCTTGTGTACTTCTGCTTGAAATAACATGTGTGCCTTTCTATTGAAAATAGCTATGGTCCACGTAGAAATTATGTGCTGTTAGGGGATACTTGAATTGATTGGAAGCTTTTTCAAACCAAACTGGTAAATCTTCTGTTGGCTTAATCAAAAAAACTGAAGTGTTTAATCCCTTTTTTCTAGGAGAAAAAATGGGATATTTTTTGAATTGTCTTAGATTCTGGATAATTTTCAAGTTAGTATGCTGTTTTACTAAGACAAACCCCACTTTACTGGATTCCACTCTTACATATGCCATCACCTGAAATTTAATTTGCTTAAAACAGTTAAGGTCACACAAAAGGATTAAACTGAGTAGCCCGTTTCTAACAAAGTCTCCACCTTAGAACTCTTAAGTCCTAATTTCTGACAACGGTGTCATGTTTCTTGTTTGAGTTTTATGTCAAAGACTGAAGATTGGCAAAAGTCTGACCATGTGATCATTTCAGTTGTATATAGTCAGGTGTTCAAGCATGCAGCATACATCACAGAATTAAAAATTTGTTTTCAGCCATTGCCACCTCCCAGTGAAACCTTTGAAATGTACCACTGAGCCCATTGCATAACAAGTAATGGGCCATCAGTCTGCTGCTTCCTGAGTCTATCACTTCTCCTCTGTCCAGTGGGAGATTTTTCTTTCAGATACGGATTATTTGGAATATGTGCTGTTTCTTATAATGAAAATCCATATTCCTTCTTTCTCTTCTGTCCAAGACTGACTCCTAACTTTAAGGAACTTTAGTGAGATTTAATATAAAACAAATATAAAGACATGTAGAACCGCAAGCAAATTGGACATTTGAAAGTTTTTTATAGTAATATTTCCAATTTGAATTCTGAAGCAAGTCTCTGGAATCCAGTGAAGATAAATGGGAAATGGAGGACCCCTGTTTTTAAACTCAGTACAAACCTGTATTTGTTTTCTTGATTTGTGTTACTTAATATGCTACATTTTTGCTCACAGCTGTACTGCAGTCACACCTCCACTTGACTTCACTTCTACAAGGACATACTGAAATTAATCATCTTCAGATGTACTCAACATAGAATTAAATCCTCAGAATTTATATCCAATTTTTATGTACCTTCCCTGTTGAGACTTCTATAACACAGGTAGTTTCACAGTGTTAGTAGTTTACTCAGACTTTTTTAATAAAAGGCTTAAATTTTATCTTCTCATATGATTTCCCTAAGGCGGGTAAAGTTATGGTACATTTCAGGTAATCTGTCAATGTTTGCTTTTATGCTTTTCCCTAAGATTTCTGTTCAAGCCTAGAAAATTCCAACTGCCTGGCTATGAATTTAAAACAGAAGAGGAATCAAGAAATAAAAATATATGTGGCCTACATGCACTTACCCTGAAAGCAAGAGCAGTAAACATATTGTTAACAAAAAAGTTGTATGACGGGTAGGTTGAGTAGCAGGCACTGTACTTAAGAGAAACTTGTATAGATTCATTAAAGCCCTGAGCTAGCATTTACTTTGGCTTTAACAACTTCCAGAAAAGGTGGCCCATTCAGTTACAGTTCCATGAGTACTTTTCTAAAATATAGTTTCCACCTGGAGTTAGTATTGACGGCAGCAGGAGTTCAGGAACAACACGCAGACAATCAGTGTGATCAAAGCGATGTCCAATTTATTAATTAAATGAGTTAACTTTTATACAGTTTAGTTTCTTCCGGGTACATGCTTACAATAAGGTGATTGGATAGCTCAGTCTGTGCACGCGTCTCATGCTTTCAGTTCATTGGTTCTGGAGCTCTGTCCGCGCAGCCTGACGTCGTACGTGCCGCCCAAAGTCCCTAATATCGATCCACCTTTAGGGCCTTTCCGAGATTCTGCAGGTGTTTCTTTATCTCCAGTTTTCCCACAACTTTCAGCTATAAACACACGACTTTCTCATACCTAGCAACTGTAAACATACAGTATTGTATTCACACAGCTAACAATTATAAACTCAACATAATTTCACACAGTCTGCAAGTATAAACACCACGCAGCTTGCAACTTCCAAAGTTGTATCAAGCAAGGCCTACAAAAATGCAGGAGAAATTGTTCACAGAATCCTGCTCTCCCAACAAGTTAGAGCAGTGGAAAGTCATGAAGTAACACAAATGTGACCAAATTTCATCCTGCTAAAAGACTGTAGAGTGCTCTCTAGTCAGACAAGAATAGTTTAAAGGCTTGAATCACTTCAGAGGCTGAACCACTGCAGGTATTTTCTCATAGAAAGATGTCTGAAGGTGAACAGTTTATGTAGGCTTCTTACAACCAGTGCTGGAAATGCTTGAATTACTTCAGTTGGTGTGACAAGATCGTTCAAGTTAATTGAGTTTGAAATGAAAAGCCATTATTACACAGAAGAAAATAGGTTGAAAGGGTTTGGTGATGCTTGTATTTTTAGTCATTTCCATTCAGTTTTAACCAAAGCCAGACTATTCCAGACACAGCTACAGTAGTTTTCTAACCACTTAAATCCAGTTTTACTCATTTTAGGGAAACTCCATTTCAGTGGTATATTGCCATTTTAAGGGCTGTTAACTGTTAGTTCTCTGAGCTCTGGCTTTGCACTTTTCCTGGTTGCACCAGTAACCTCTTAAACCAGTGTCTGCAGCCTACAAGCTATTATTCTTCACATTTCGGTACTTAAAAACTTTAAATGAAATCTAGTATTCTTGTGCTGGGCTTAGTTTTCCATTTGTTCAAACTGATGGCTGACTGAAGTGCACTGTAGCCATATCCTTACTGTTAAAAAGTATTTTGAAATTTAAAGAAAAGAGAAAAATTAAAACAGCCTAGTGTATGTACGTTACATATCTAATAATATTCTTGAGCTATGGGTTTGTGAAAATTCATGACATCTTAGATGCAAAAAGGTAAGAGTGCAATATGGAATCTCTTTGCGTATATAGTGGAAAGACCAATCATTGAAATACCTAGACACCAATATTATTTTTATGTAAATGCATACAGATAGCCTGAAATTTATCTTACCAGATTGTGTAGTAAAAGTGTACACATACCTATGGATTGATTTGTGGCTTTTTAAAAATTAAATTACCATTTGTCTAAACTCAATTTGTGGTTTCCAGGGTGCATTTGCTTTGGAATCAGAAGAAGGAACTTCAGTCTCACATGAAAGAATTAAAAAATATTTTTTGTGTGTCTGGTGTTTTTACAAACCTGTAACTTCATGCTTGGAGATGAGCTGAAAAAAATATCTGCTTAATACTTCATGTATTAAGACACAAGTTTTAAAATTCTGCTTTTTAAAACCTGCTAAGCATGGATTGAGTCTAACATACTTCCTTCTTGTGTGAAAAGACAATTTGATCCAAACTGTAATATGTTAATGTATTACTGATTTTTGTTCCTATATGTCAGAGCTTTTTTATTTAATCAATCATTTTAATTGTATTTTAAGTAAAGTTAAGTAAACTACTGATTTCTTGGATACCATGCTCTGGAAACTGGTCGCACATCTGTCTTGGTCCACCCAAATGCATCACTTTATTACTTTATCAGGTGGACTTTGTTAATGAACTAAGTGGTTCTCCTATTTGAATTTAAAGAACAAAGCTGAATTCTTTTGCTTTCCATATCAAGCCTGCAGACCTCATTGCATCCCCTATGCAATTCCATTTTTTTGTGTTGACCAGACCCTAATCACTGTAGGGTACAAACAAACCTATTGTGTGTGTGCATGGTGGCTACACAGACAGGCTTTGCCAAATGCAACTGGAGTCAAGAAAATTGAAGCTAAAGAATTGTGCCCAGTCTCTCGATTTCTGGTTAAAGAATGCAGCATGAGATAGCACCAAAATTACTTGCTCGCTATAAAATGAGTGAATTTCTTGACTTGAATTTTTCATAGCTCTCTAATGTAAAAATATGTACATACTAGAGAACAAAGCCTAATTTGTAGAACAATTATTGGTTCTCCTAATAAAAATATATGTAAAGTTTTCCTGTATTAAGCAGTTTATTAAACATAATCACCTCAGTTTACATCAATGTTTACCCTGTGATTGCAGTAAAACTTGTTGATTTTGATGAAAAAAAAAAAATCCAGGCACTTTGCAAAAATCTCTTAAACAGTTTTTTAGTAGTTTACCTTTATTTCACTAGATAGGCAAATATTTCTTTGACTAGTTGAGTAGTATTCTTGTAATTTAAACTTGCACTGGATGCAGAGCAGGATGTGTTACTAAGTGTATTACCAATAACAAGACTTCCAGACTCAAAGCAGAAGTCCAGACATGATCTGAAGTCAATATAGTGTTTCTACTACTTTCTGAAACAGCTTTTTTTTTTCCTAAAGTATGTAAGGTTATATATAACTACCTTTCTGTTTAGCCTGGGGGATGAAGAAAGAAATAGAAAAGAGAGAAAAGAGCCAGAACTTGCTTAGGTTTATAGTTAGTCATTTCCTGCTCCCCTACACTTCAAGATACCTCTCTCCTTAAAATAAGATAAAAACATTCTTTTTGCTAATTTAATTTCCAAGCTGTCTACCAATTACTTGGAAAGATGAGTTGGTTCTCATTTTTAAAGGCAGAACAGATATAATTTGTAGGCAAGACAAGTCACTGCATTGTCAGTTGCCTTAATTTTATTGACAAATGCAACCATTTGACACAATCCTAATATAGCAGACAGTTTTCATGTTCAGTTCTGCACTAGAGTGGATGATTCTAATAGGACTAAGTGAAAAGGAAGGTTTGGCTGGTTTTTTTTCAAGCGTCAAAAATCTGGTAAGGGCGGGCCATATAGGTTTAATATGGTCTTCCACTCATCCTCCATCAGGACCATGCAGACAGACACACCCTCCATGTGATGAAATGTGCAGCTCTGCTTCACCACAGGTCTGGAAAATACATTCTTTTCTGCTGTACTTTTTCTGAAGTACCTGTTAATATTTGTGTTCTCATGCAGAGGCCTTTTGAGAAAGAGAGTAGACCGTGGCCAGTATGAATTGTTCTAAGGAACCGTGTCAAGCTTGGCTGTCTTAGAGTAAGCAGAACACAAGATGCAGGAAAACCAAGAGAGCTACTAAAGGAAAAATTATAATATTAATATTATAATTAATATTAGAAGCTATTAATATGTATCATGGAGTATTTTCCAATTCCTTAATATGAAGGGCTATAAACATTGTTAAGGGTCAGCATTTAAAGCTGGAACATAATCCTGAACACTATAAAATTCCAGGCAGACAGACAAAAACTGATGTTTCCATACACATGAAGCAAAAGCAGCACAGGTACGGTAAGATTGCAGAAATTTGATATGACAGTTTTCCAGTAAAGGCTAGCAGTGTGAAACCAATGGAGCATTAGCATAAGTGTCTCATCAAACCTGATGGTGCTGTTTGTGAAGATGACCTGTTTTCAGAAACAGCATGTCTATTTTCATGCAATATATAACTTATTGCTGCATGATGTCAAATACAGTTATAATGCCAGGCATGTCTAACTATCTCACGTCTCAGAAAAAAATCTGATTTGGCAAAGATCTGTTAAATGCTGAAAACTGTGTAAAAACAACTTTATCAAAATTTACAATCACTATTGACCAGATCTGTGGATGTAATAAGAAACTTGTGAAGCAGTAAAAAACGATGGTATTTCTTATTTATGAGCATTGTTCAAACAAAATGTTTTTTAAGAAAGTCAGATGCAAAGTTATGGACTTAGGAAGGAGGAATGAAGAGAATACCATTAAAGCACAGGGAATTGTGATTTTGCTCAGGCTCTCTAAATCTCTCCCTAATATCAATTCTGTCCTCTGATGGAGAATTTGTAGAATATTCTCTGCTCTTTTCCCTGTTCTTACCAGTCCTTGCTGTATTTGAACAATGAGCGAGTCATCCCAGCTACCTTTTAGCATGCAGTAACTGAGGGTGACAAATTTTTTGTGGATTTGGGGGGGTTGTGGTTTTTTCTCTTTGAGGGAGGGGTTTTGTGCAACTGTGGATGAGATTCTATTCTGTTTTCACTAAATTTTATATTGATCTGTAGCAGAAAGAGTTTGTAATATCACTGCAAAGTCAGCACTATGAACTCACTTTATATAGTCCTTTTCCACAAATGCTAGAGAACCTGATGCAATTCAAGCACTCAGTTTTTGCAAAAGCATTTGGCTGATCTGCTGTAAAAGAATTCAGAAGTCATATGAGAAAAGGGTAGATGTATGATGGAAAAAAAAAAAAAAAAAAAGACAAAAATACAGCAAAACTTTCTGAATCTCTTTTCCTGGTGTTTATGTCTACAAGAGCAGCATACTTCATAAGGGACCATAGTCACACTTTGTAAGTGTCATTCTTGTACCTGAGTGTATTTTACAAGTTCAGTGGAACCTTTTCATACTAACGTAAAAATATATCCTAAGGGTCAAAACTGCTGCTTCCAAAGCCCATTTTACTCTGACATGGCCTTTGTCTACGATAGTGTATTACTGCTCTTGCAGGTCCACTTTTCTCCTAATTTTTAACAGGATATGTTTTTTGCCCTCCTGCATGCTTTGGTGCATATTTCCACTATATTATAAAGCTGAAGCTGGTTCCAAGCTAAGAACCTTCTTTAAGACATAAAAGGCCATTTAAGTATGCTGTAAGAGTTTTCCTTGTCTGTTTTCTTTTTCTTGATGATATCTTTTCTCTATAAAAGAATGAAAGCTTCCACATTCTTGGAAAAGAATCAGATCAACTTCCATTCCCTCTCTAGATATCCATGGGGCACCATACTCAAACAAGCTAGTTCAAACCTGAAGGATAATGTTTGAGATAGTTTGTTGTGTCTCACCATGTAGAAACTTCTATGTGACTCAACAAACTTTCAGTGACCTTCTAGAGGAATACCACCACTCAAGCTTGCTGCCTGTTTTTGATGTGAGCAAGAGGTCCCAGAAGCTCTTTTGTGAAACCCAGCAATGCAAAATGTGACTTTGTACCATTGAATATGTTTGCGACACACATCCTTGGGCCTTCAGACAATGAACTCTGAAGTGACCTGAATTTCCTAGAATTTTGAGGCAAATCCCCCTGTTATATTTTGGAATTACATCTATGACTGCCACACATACTATTACATGGCTCAGTGACTTCCAATATTATCTTTAGCTTTATCTGTTGCTCCACTTTGGGATTCATCTGTTCTGCAACTTTTCAGAAAGCACATGCTAAGCAGCATCTGTAACACGATGGATGATACCCATCCTTCCTCACTTAGCAAGAACATCCAGAGTAAAGTATTTGAATGAAGTTCAGATGGCAGTTGCATTTTTTTTAAGTTTGTTGCATTATGCACAGATTGTAATCTAGTGGACTCTTTTTTGTCTGAGTTTCATCCAGGGAATATAGCCAGAGCTAGTTTTTCTTTCAACGGCACTTTTAACAACTGTACATGAAAGACATTTTTCTATTGGTGTGACAGGTCAATATCACAACTCACCAACCTGAGTTGCCTGCCACTGTAAATGACTCATTTCTCTTCTGAAACGCTTATTTACCTCCTATCTAGATTATCTGTGGTACGGCGAGGTAAGAAATATCTGCAGGCTTTCCTCCCTATGATCAATTCATGATGCTGTGAGAATCTAAAAATTCGTCCTCTTGGGTTTTCTTAGTCATGAAGCTGTTGTGTATATGCAAGCAGAGGAAACCTCAGAGAAGCCTGGAGGATTTAGGAAATGCTAATTAAAAGATAAAGCAACATGTGCTTAGAATCTGCCTGCAAATACTTTAGTAGCATTACTTTGGGGGACTGATTCATTTGCTACACTAGTCTGTATGTCTCAGGATTATAAAAGGTCATTTGACTGGCCTGGATTTCTTCAAATTTTATAAAACTCCTTTAATATGGATACTTGGAAATTCCTTTGTGATCTGCTATTCTGTGTTTTGGTATGTAAACAGCGCTAAAGAGTTCAACCAGTTCTTCTGTGATTGTTTTGACAGTGGCACAATGTAAAAAAATTGCCCCCAGAAAGCAGGTCAGTTGTCAGAGATGCCTACTGTATGCTTACCTCTGAGCTCCCTTCTGACAGATTGGTGATTTCACTCCTTACAATTGCATATGTGTAACAGGCAGGAGAATCCACAGACCCCCTGCTCTCTTACAACTGTTTTGCTCAAGTTTACCAGAAATTCACAAGAGCTTTTAGATACTAAATACAGCAATTGCTAGATACGGCACTGGATTGACCAGAAAACACAGTCAATGAACTCCATCATGCTACTCCAGTGCATGGACATCTGGCACTAGGTGCAGCTCCTGGGGTTTCTCTCAAGATGTTTTCTGGAGCACTCCCTGCCTCCTCCTTCCATCTGCTCATTTCTTATCTGCTTAATGGGTAGTGATTGATTAGGATAGGTCAGTGGGACATGAGCTCAAGGCCAAAACTGCTCAAAGCAGGATGGACCTATCCTAATGTCTTGCCACATGGAGCCTGTCCTTGCCAGCTCTTTGCAGTAACCTCACATGACTATGAATTCCAGACACACATCCAAGAAAAAACATTACTTTTGTGATATTCTTCTCAACAAAATCTTGGGTTTTCTCAGAAATTTTGTACATAAGTGGGGACAGGATTCATGGAGAAAGCCTGTTAACACCTGTGTTTCAAATTTAATGTGGCAAAAAATTACCAGCATGCCAAAGGGAGTGACAGAGAAGTAAGTGAGTAGAAAACCACTGCAAAAACAGTCTCTGGGACAAGGCAAACCAAGATTTTAACAGCGTGTAAAGTCATCTCCTATGTAGCTTAATTCTTCTCCTCAGACAAGGCTTAGAAGGAGGGACTCAACATACATGCAAGTTGACAATTCGTATGTTGATGCTGGAGGGCTGAGTGAGGGAAGTGAACAACAACATAGTCAGAACAAGAGATAAGCATGGCAGTGGAAGCTATTCTCTTCAGTCTCCCATCCTGGCCCAAGCAAAATATTCTTCTGGCACAACAGTAG